CAATAGCGAAGTCGATTGAGCCATGTCCGTCTGTCCGTCCGTCTGTCTGTCCGTACGTACGTCTGTCTGTATAAATGCTGAGATCTCAGGAACTATAAGAGATACAAAGTTGAGATTAAGCCAGAAGATTCTCAAGGTCCATATGCAGCTCAGGTTTATCAGCATCCTGCCTCGCCCACTCCAACGCCCACATATCACGAAAAACTAAAATCTCTGAAATTTCAGGAACTATTATAGATAGAAAGTTGAAATTTAGTATGTATAATCTTTAGATGCCAGCGCATCTTATGATGGTACCATTATCCGGCCACATCCATTCTTACCCCCACCAAGCTAAAAAGACCATTTTTTAGAAAAGCTGATACTTTGGGAGCTCTACTCTTGTTTTAACCTATTTTTGTCAGCTCCTTTCTTGCCGACGAACCTTGTTAGGTTATTATAGCGTGATCTATATGGCCTTCTTATGCCATCCGCTAGAATGTGTTTAACCTCTGTGCGTTTACAAATTCTGTCACCCAAATGGGGTGTTCCTTCAATTTGGAGTACACTGGTTCCCCATATAGTCTTATTGCGAATAGAATATTTATGTTGTGGGGTAACTTTTTTTTGAGCACTTAATTCAGATTAATTTCTTGTAAAAAACCTTAAGTGTCGTATGGAGTCATAAACGGGTCCGCTTCCATAACTGCAATTTGTAAGGGCTGCTTTTTTCTTGACTCCTGCGCTTTTGCTTGTAACGGATGAAATATATACAACATATTCTTTCTTGGGGAGACGTTAGATTCGATCCGGTTGTGTGCGTTAGTTATCCTAGGTTTGTTCCCTGGTCGACTTCTATATTCCTCTATAAATTCATCGACTGACGAGTTGTAGTCGACGTCTAGAACATTAGTTTTCCGTAAAAATAACAGACTTTTATTTGTAATATTTTATTTTCTACATTTGATATAAAAATGATTTAGAAATTAATAAAAAAAATTTCCCAGTGTAGACTGAAGTGAACTTTAACTGTTTTCTTTTTGCCAAACAACAACCTTACTTTTTTTTTATGTCCTGCAGAATTGCCTTTACAGACCCTTTTTTATTTCGTACTAATTAAGATTCAAATTATTCAAACAGCATATTTTCATGCATTTTTTTAGCATCTGATTCTTTTTTTATGTATCCTTCCTTTATAACTACTTTTTATACCCGTTACTCGTAGAGTAAAAGGGTATACTAGATTCGTTGAAAAGTGTGTAACAGATAGAAGGAAGCGTTTTCGACCCTATAGAGTATATATATTCTTGATCAGGATCAATAGCAAAAACTATTGAGCCATGTCCGTCTATCCGTCCGTCCGTCCGTCCGTCCGTCCGTCTGTCCCTCTGTCCCGTCTGTCCGTCCGTCCGTCCGTCCGTCCGTTCGTCCGTCCGTCAGTCCGTATGAACACTGAGATCTCAGGAACTATAGTAGATACAAAGTTGAGATTAAGCATGCAGATTCTTGAGGTCCCGGGACAGCGCAAGTTTATTTCAGCATCCTGACACGCCCACTCTATCGCCCACAAATCGCGAAAAACTAAAATCGCTAAAATCTCGGGAACTATTAGAGCTAGAAAGTTGAAATTTTAGTGGTACTATTAAATGGCCACACCCACCCATACGCCCACCAAGCTCGTATTTTCAAGAAAAACTGTTATCTCGGTAACTATAAGTGATAGAAAGTTCAGATTAAACATGTAGATTTTTATGATGCCCCAATTGTTTTTTTGTTTATCTGGCCACGCCCACCCTAACGCCCATAAAACCCGAAAAGCCAAAAATGCAAAAATCTCGGAAACTAAAAGAGTTAGAAAGTTAGGCTAAGAAATACGTATTTTAAAGAAGCCACTGCAACTTCCCGCGAGTTTTTATCCGGCCACGCCCACTCTAGCACCCTCAAACCGCGGAACACTGTGGCGTCTATAATAATATTATGAATGCCTTCGTTTGACCTTGTATAACTTATTTCTGTTAATATCTATCGATTTACCAAAGATTTTTCAAATTGGAACAATATTTCCCTACTTATGAAGAAATTTAGGTTATAAGGCTTCACATGGGCAGTGGGCCTCACATGGGCTTGGGTAATTTCCACTAGCAAAATGAATATTTTAAAATTGTGTAAATCAGTGACGGGTATCTTATAGTCGCGGCACTAGACTCTAGCGTTTCCTCTTGTTTTTATTAGGTTTTGTAATAATTTGTGTTTGTCTTTACCAAATTTAATGTTTTAATTTTGTATTGGGCTTGGTTTTTTTTAACGTTGAGTGCTAATTAATATTATTAATTTTTCGATTGTTTTATTTAATTATCTTATTAATTGTGAACTCTATCTAGTCATGTAGTGGTTATTGCCATTAAATTTAGTTTTCGTTTGCATGCGTAGTGTAAATAAGATGCTGCATCGCCGGCAAATCGAATGTGAGGCTCCAGAAAATGTTGCCATGAGGTGTGTTCAAGAATCACGCCACAGCCGATAATATAAGATAAGCGCATTCATTTGCATTTGTGCATCTCTGTTTAAGTTAGCTTAGCTAAGATTCATGTTCCGTTAAGGTGCCAATAGAATAGAGGGATGCGATCTGAATTCTTGCTACTTCTTAGTTATTGGCGTGGAAGCATTGAACGTAGTTAACTTATATATTCTTGATCAGAATCAATTGCCGAGTAGACTTAGCCATGTCCGTCATTGGACCTGTCCATATGACCGCTGATATCTCTTTAACTATAAGAGATACAATTTTTGGACTAAGCATGCATTTCTGTAGGTTCTTTCTAATTATGCCTACGAAGCGTATTGTTTTTTCCGCGTTTGCTAAGCATACATATTCATTATTTTCGGGTGTCTTCAGCTGTATTGTATGAGCAGGTCATTGAGGGTTGACCGAATAATTTTACAAAGGAAGTAAGGAAATCCTGATAATGGCCCCTTAAAATTGACTTATGATCTGTATTCTTATATGCATCTGCAAAAAACGGTAATAAGTTTATAGGTAGATGTCTTGATTACGACACGGTAAATCCTAAAATATTGACACTTTCTGAAGGGGCTATATTCATGTTAAAGTAACACGTTGATTTGTATCTGTGTAGTTTTTTATTAGTACCTGTGATGCAATGTTAGTCTCACATGGGCAGTGGGCTTCACATGGGCTTGGGTAATTTCCACTAGCAAAATGAATATTTTAAAATTGTGTAAATCAGTGACGGGTATCTTATAGTCGCGGCAGTAGACTCTAGCGTTTCCTCTTGTTTTTATTAGGTTTTGTAATAATTTGTATTTGTCTTTACCAAATTTAATGTTTTAATTTTGTATTGGGCTTGGTTTTTTTTAACGTTGAGTGCTAATTAATATTTTTAATTTTTCGATTGTTTTATTTAATTATCTTATTAATTGTGAACTCTATCTAGTCATGTAGTGGTTATTGCCATTAAATTTAGTTTTCGTTTGCATGCGTAGTGTAAATAAGATGCTGCATCGCCGGCAAATCGAATGTGAAGCTCCAGAAAATTTTGCCATGAGGTGTGTTCAAGAATCACGCCACAGCCGATAATATAAGATATGCGCATTCATTTGCATTTGTGCATCTCTGTTTAAGTTAGCTTAGCTAAGATTCATGTTCCGTTAAGGTGCCAATAGAATAGAGGGATGCGATCTGAATTCTTGCTACTTCTTAGTTATTGGCGTGGAAGCATTGAACGTAGTTAACTTATATATTCTTGATCAGAATCAATTGCCGAGTAGACTTAGCCATGTCCGTCATTGGACCTGTCCATATGACCGCTGATATCTCTTTAACTATAAGAGATACAATTTCTGGACTAAGCATGCATTTCTGTAGGTTCTTTCTAATTATGCCTACGGAGCGTATTGGTTTTTCCGCGTTTGCTAAGCATACATATTCATTATTTTCGGGTGTCTTCAGCTGTATTGTATGAGCAGGTCATTGAGGGTTGACCGAATAATTTTACAAAGGAAGTAAGGAAATCCTGATAATGGCCCCTTAAAATTGACTTATGATCTGTATTCTTATATGCATCTGCAAAAAACGGTAATAAGTTTATAGGTAGATGTCTTGATTACGACACGGTAAATCCTAAAATATTGACACTTTCTGAAGGGGCTATATTCATGTTAAAGTAACACGTTGATTTGTATCTGTGTAGTTTTTTATTAGTACCTGTGATGCAATGTTAGTCTTTTTTTGGTTTTTTAAGACTTTGTCATTGAAGACTAATCACTTGTAATCATTATAAGCTCTTATTTTTTAATATTAGTTACTGAAGACGGCAATAACTTTTATTCTTACAAATATAGTATTCTAAGATTAATATTAATCCAACCGGAAAATTATTTTGACTTTTTTAAGGGGCTATATTTATGTTAAATTATTTGGATTTCCTTCCTTCCTTTCATGGAAAATTATTCGGTCAACCCTCAATGACCTGCTCATGCAATACAGCTGAAGACACCCGAAACACTCAGATCAGTTGAAGACACCCGAAACACTCGAATCATTTGAAGAAACCCGACTAACTCATCCAAAAAACATGGGTATTTCAGACACTGCCTTCATTTGCTATGAGTGTGTTGGGTGTCTGTGCAAGAGAGTACTGGGTGCGCAAGTGCTTATTCGAAATGAGCTGTGCAAGAAACCCACTCTTATTTTAGGGTGCCGATCATACTCTGAGTGCCGAAAAGGCACAAATGATTCGGGAGCACTTATTGTCTGGGTGTACCATTGCCGTTCTTTGGTAGGTAACCTACCGATTTACTAAATATTTTTTAGATCGAAACATTCCCATTTTTTTAAGGAAGATATCTTATGAGGCCCTACTGTGCAATAACGTCACCGTCAGTTATTAAACATGCTTGTGATAAAAAGTGGCACTGTCTCAATTTCTGTTAGCAAAATAATTATTTTAAATAAAGTTACATTTAATCACTTTTAGCTTTTACTGGCTCAGAGCACATACCTTGACTTTCATTGAGATGTCCTTGTGCCTTAAGATTTTCCACTTCAGCGTTTACAAAGTACGTTAATATATATCCCACAGCGAACATAAAGCCAATTGTTCCTAAAAGGGATAAACATACAAGAAGGTGCTCTTCTTCAATATTATCTGATACGTAATCCACTAAATATCGGAAGCGCGAGATCCATTTACTTAACAATCCTTTTGAGTGTTCGTCAAATAATTTCTGAAAGTTAATAAATATTTATATTTAAGCAATTTTGCAACATAATTACATACCTGCACAATAGATTCATATTTGAATCCTTCGGAAGATTTTAAAAGCCTTTTTAACGTGTACGATATGTCATTTTCAGTGGAATTTGTTAGATTTCCAGCTACGACAGTATCATTTCGTTTAGCAACAAAGACCCATTCGTACTTTATATGTTTATTATTTCGTCGCCAAATTATGACAATTTGTAAAAGACTTTTCTCAAATGATCCTTTGGAAATTGACTGAACAAAATTTGGTTGAGTTTCCTGAAATCAAAATTTTCTTCTTTTAGAATTTCTAATTTTTTAAAACATTTCTATGAATATGAATTCAAGCTTTCTAGCCAATTTGAAGCTACTCTTTTCATGATGATCAATATTGTAAAGCTCTTGGCTTGACTAACACATTTTGTAAAAGGTTTTTGCTTTCTTGAGGCTAAAAAAATCGAAAACCTTTAATAACCGATAAGTTTATATATATATTATATATATGAAACTGTTATTTTTGTTATCTCAATATAAGTTTTATTTTAATAAAAAGAGAGGAGAAAAATAGGTAAGCAAGATAACCCAACATTTTATTTTAAACGGCTGTTAATTTTTTAAAACTTTTCCTTTGGAGACTAACAACAGGTTGTCAAAGCTTAAATATATAATTAACAGTATTTATCTAACAGGTGTTTAAAATATGAATATTGCTGGGCCGGGCAGTCGTTTCGTCGCCATGACTAGGCTCCGAGCGAGATTGTTTGGATGTTCGTTGAGTTTTCTTCGGTAGGTCTCTTTAAGACTTGATATTTGGAACACAAAATTCTACGCGAAGCGTCAACCAAAGACGTTAGCAGGAAGGTAATATTTTATTGACAATAAGCCATCGGAAACCAGCCTGATTAAATTTTTCCTGCCAGATTAGTTTTAAAGAAACTCAAAAAGTGTAATATACCCGGCATATTCAGCAACCCACCTCTTATTTAAAAATTCAACCTATTCCCAAGACAACGCAGTGCAGTCAAGAACCACATCAAATGCCTATCCGGGAGACCGACGATTTCTCAACAACATCCGGACAGCGACTTAGTCATAAAAGAGAAGACTATAATACAACAAAATGTAAATGGATACTGTTAGATTAACTTCTCGTTTTCGATTTTTTTAAGTGTTAAGAGGGGAGCGGGATTTATTAAAGCTTTTTCGCTCTGACGACTTCGGCCACCGTTCTCCTTCTCATTTATTATGTCGATGAACATAAAACAAATATAAAATAAAAAGTAATTTTTTAATTAACATTATTATTTTTTATGTGGGTGGCAAAAACATCCATTGCGACAGTTTCCGAAAGAAAAAACATTAATTCAAAGGTGATTCGGGAGAAATCGGAATAAAGAGAGCATTCTAACAAATAATTTTAATAAAGTAAGATGGATGCGCTAACAAGTATAATTCTTACATAAATATTTATAAATAAAAATACAGGGTAACAAGAAATAACCCTCACAATTTTTGACGCAATGGATTTCAAATGCGTTATGATGCAGCCCTTATACAGCCCAAATATAGCCATTAATATATGTTATATTATATCTACATAATAGTTGTGTATCTGCATTTTTTCTCAAATATAGTTCCTTAATAAGTTGTGATGAAAAATGTGAGTCCGGGTAATTTCTTGTCACCCTGTATTTCTATACATTGTAATAACTAATTAACAAAGTGAATCGATTTGGACTGTTTACATTTCTTGGTGTTATTTCCGCTTGAGTAAAAGTCGTATATATATATATATATTTATATACATATAATGCATTTTTTTCGCTCACGTTTTATAGTTTAATACAAACTTAAATTTTTAGTAAGCTAATAATGCTGTTTTTAAGGTTCTTTGTTAATATATCTGCAATAATCTATTTTGATGAAAGATACTTAAAAAAATCTGCCCTTCCCCACATAAATCTATTACTATTACTATCTATCTATTTGTTTTGATTTTGAATTACGTACGGGATTCTTTGCCAACTATTGAGCGCTTAAATTATCAGTATCCATAACTGTTGAATCTATTATTCTTTCAGATTCTCCGTAACGGATCTCCAAAATAAGTGGTCTCTATAAAATCGCATTCTTGCATGCGAATGATAAGGGCATATATTACAATATAATATATTCGGCTACTTTACTAATGAAAGCTACTATGCTTTTTTTCAGATTACCAAGATATTAGTCCTCCAGCTAGATAAAATAGGTATCCTCCCTATGACTCTCTATTAGTTTTACCGCCTCTCCAGTCAGGGTCCACGTAAAACTCCAAATGCTTATTGCTCATTGCTTATTTTGTACCACAATTTTATATCATCCCTCCTTGTCGCATGTGATTTGGAATCCTGCATCCAGTGGAGTTGTAGCTGCTCTACAATCCTTAATGCGGTGACGCTGAAGCAGATTCTCAATATATAGAGTTTGACTCAGCATTATCTCGCCCAATTCGCCTCCTCGCTGAAATTCCATTCCAAGAAACATGTTCAACTGCCCATGATCAACATATTCGAAGGACTGAGATATCGGGCTTTTTATGCATATGGGATCATTTTTATCTTGGTAAGCTTTAATCCGGTCTTCCGCTTGTTCAAGAATAAGTGCAAGATGGGATCTATAGTTCCACTCTTTGCTGGACTGATTAGGGCCGTAAATAGCGTTCTTTGGCGAGATTACGCCGGCCGCATGATCTTTGTCTAGAAATTCTCATGGTTGTTTCATGTTATCAGTGCCTTTTAAATTAATATTTAGATAAGCCGTACAGACATCCATCTGGTGCAAATGTAGTTTAAATTTTGCAGCCAGGGCAAGTATGAAAGAAATGCTTTCCATTCGACAGACAGGCGAAAATGTCTCGAATCAATTAATTTATGGTCTAACAGGTTGTTGCTCAAGACAACTAGCAAGCTAAGTCTTGGTGACAACTGTTTAAATCGATTGTGGTGCCCACGATGTTGTACTGCATCCAATAATGGGGCATGGCTTCAGACTGCGGTGCGCATACTTGCAAATTCACCCAAGTACCTCAGAAACGTAGCCCTACTAAGTGATCTGGATATCATGTATCTGGATTTGGTCTCAAGTTGAGTTATATTCTACGCTGTTTCGGTTCAGAATACACAAATTTCCCTTGCAACGGACCGCCAAGTGATGGTCGATAAAGATGACCGGAACTTTCCGATTATGGTGTAGAAACGAGATCCTTGAGTTTTTGAAGACCTTCAAGCTAATTACTGCGGCATTGGAACATAGCCAGCACCTTCCATGAACACATTTATGTTGACGATTTGTTGACAGGGGCCGAATGCCCCTGATTGCGCAGAAACACAGATTGAAATACGCAGACGCTTCCATGAGAGCATATGGAGTGTTCGCATGCATTACGCTGAGGGTTTGAAAGTGGCGTTACTGGCAACCATATCTAAAGTAGATCCCCTCAAGACGAAAACTTTGGCTCGCCTTGAACTGTGTGCAGCTCACCTTTTAACAGATCTTCTTAATCGTGTAAGATCATAAATCTATTGCCTAATAAACATCGATTTTACTTTTGTAAGAGAAAATTTTAGAAGTTATCCAATTAACCAGTTTAATAACGGCATAGGCCAAGTTCGGAAGCGAGACCGTATCAACGAATATTCAGAAACTAAATCTTTTTTTGCAGGAAAATTAGATTGGTGCTTTCCGACATTGATACGAGTTGGTTGTAGGTTATTGTAGGTTATTGCTATCGCTAGACTTGCAGTTCGTTGAATCTTTCGTGTCGAATCTGCACGTTACGAATTGTCACGCTGCATGCATGCAGGGGGGTGCCAAACTCGAGGCCCATCTGAGCGCTAAGCGACCCCAGCGTCGGCGACGCCTTAACCCCAAGGCACCTTCAGTCTTCTCTTCGCTCCCGGACCAGATTAGCCTAACCTGTTTGCAGGGAAGGCGCAATGTCTTGTATCAAGAACAGGTTTTGGCTGCGATGGTCCCGGGAGTACGTATCGAGCCTGCAGACGCGGCCCAAGTGGAACCAGGAGGTCCCAAACGTGGAAGTGGAAGCACTCGTCGTCGTGTAGGATCGGGCTCGTGGTCGGTGCACCGAGTGGAGGACGTGAAGACAGCGGAGGGAACATAAAGGCGCGCCATTTATAGATTGGCGCTCCAACCGATTCTGTCCTGAAGGATGTCGTCCCTTCAGAGGGGCGGTGTTCGTTCAGAGATTGGTTTCTTCCAGTGTAAAGAGAAGAGCGTGACCCAATAAAGCTTTTCGCTCAGGAGAATACAGACCCCGCTATTCCTCTCCTATCTTGTCTTCATCTCTGTATATAATTAGTTGAATAAAGTTAGTTAAAATTCGAAATTCTATTTTCCTATCGTCAGCACGTACCGTGCCCTTTCGACAAGAATAAATTCGCTAATTCCGAAATAACATAATTAAAACCAAACACACAAAATATTGTTGCCGCCACAGTGGTAACAGGCACCATTAGAACGTCCAGAGTGCTCCTGTGCACTCGCACTCGTTTGCTCGGGTCTGATTCTGGGCCAGCACTGCAGTCAGTACGATGAGCTGCGGTTCTCAATCGCATCCATTATGACCAGCCGATCGTTCAAAAAGGATTCCAACTCCCTGTAGGATGGAACGGTGGCACCACTTCCTTGATGGAGTTCCCAAGCGTTGTGGGTGTCCTTTGGTAACCTTGATGCTACGTAATGCGCCAACCAGTGTTGCGATTTCCCATCCACGGCTTGTACGGCGGATTGCAGCCACTCAAACATTGACCCGGCTTAGCATCGAGCGTATTAGATCCGTGTTGTCCCTTTGAAGTCTGGGCAACGCGTATATGGCGTTCATATGGTGAGAGAAAACGAGACGAGGATTGTTGTACCTCTTGATCATCATTCCCCAGACCACTGAATAGTTTCCTTCCGTGAGCTGCCGGATGTCGTTATCGCTATTTGCTGGCAACGATTTCTTGAGAAAGAAACTTCTTAACACTAATCAAATTGCTGTTGTTGTAGAAACGGACATCTGCGGCATATTCAGCCGCACTTTCGCGTCGGCGCCCTCAGACACTGGTGGCAGAGGCACACTAGCCTCTGGTCCAAGCTTGTACTAATCCTCAGCGAAAGCTCAATGGGCATCCATGTACCGTTCCTCCAACTTCGACTGGAAAATCTTTGTTGCATTGGTCGAATCAGAAAATCCTTTCATGTTCTCTAGCAGCACGTGTTTCTTCAAATAAATCCTA